TACTCTTACTCTTACCCTTACTCTTATTCCTACTCTTACAAGTAGTGGAAGTAGTAGTAGTAGTAGTAGTAGTAGTAGTAGGAGTAGTAGTAGTAGTAGTAGTAGTAGTAGCAGCACTACTATTACTACAACAACAACTACAACTACAACTACAACAACAACTACTACTACTCCTGCTGCTGCTGCTGCTGCTGCTACTGCTGCTGCTGCTACTGCTGCTGCTGCTGTTGCTACCGCTGCTGCTTCGCTGCTGCTACCGCTGCTGCTTCTGCTCTGCCGCCGCTACTGCTACTGCTGCCGCTACCAACAACCACTACTACTTACTACGAATACTCTGCTGCTGCTGCTGCTGCTGCTGCTGCTGCTACGACTACTACTACTACTACTACTACTACTACTACTACTACTGCTGCTGCTAGGTAGTGCTACTACTAGTGCTAGTAGTGCTACTAGCAGTACGACTACTACTAATGTTTCTGGCTTTTCCTGCTACTGCTACACCCGCATTCGCTTGAGCAGAACCTCCCGAAAGAAGCCTGGTGCTTTGACATAAATGACATAAAGCTATCTTGGGTAATACGTTCAGCAGCTCACTTGCTCTCCAGGGTTGTTGCGCTACGGAGATTGTCAAAGCTGGTAAAGTTTCGCTGTCTTCGTTGCTGAAGTCTGACATGCCGTGTTTGATGCATGTAGCTACGCAGCACCTCAAGAACAAAGCCGACCAAACACAGCCACGCAGTGAGCAATATGCGCCTGGACTTTTTCGCCGACATGCTCGGTGAAAAGGCTGAAAAGCCCCATGGAAACCAGAACCATGTCGAGGATGCACCAAGGATCCTCCAGCGGACGGAGGTATAAAATGACTCTCTCCAGATCTCGACACGTCTTATGTGGAAGTGGTTGGCTTGGTGGCCCGTGGAACATGAATAAGGACAGTGGTTTCAAGTATTTTGTCACACAGTTTCAACAAGATATAGCAAAACACCAGCGCATGATAGTACAATGCCTGGCCTTGTCAGGCACAAGAGGAGATAACAACTCGCAGCGAGAAACACTACAGATACCTCACCCGTCATTCAGACTACCAACGTGCCGTCCATGATTTTATGCCCCTCAGCATAACAGCTAGTGTAACAACGGAGCGTCATGAATTTTAGGCCATGAGGCATGGACTTATACTATGACTCAGCGTTGAGCGGTCAAAGCTTCGGGCACGACTTCTGTATCATTGCATAGGGCATTGCATAGGGCTGGAGCGATTTGCTCTAAAATACCTGCATGCATAAATACGTAGATGCATGCATGTATATCCATTCACTCATTCATGCACTCAGTCGTTCGTTCATTCGTTCAGTCCTGCATTTGTTTCTTCGTCATTTCGTTTATCGAGTCATTCGTTCGTTCGTTCGTTCCCTCACCGTTCATTCATTCGTTCGTGCATATTTTCATTCGTGTACGTAAGTGTTCATCAGTCGCTGACAAACTCCTCACATGAGTGGTAGTCTGCTTGGGTGAAGGTCGGTCACGAAACCGAAGTCCTTGAAGCACTTTCGTCCCCATGCTAGCAAACGTATGATGAGCTCCACAAAGTAGATGAGCACCTGGTGCTGTGAGCTCGAAGGCCTACACCCTGATTCAAGCCTTGTAATCCAAATTGTCCCACGATGGATTAACTTGTGGGCGAGCTTAGACTACACCCATGTTCGAAGCGTTCGGATCTTTGCAGCCCCGAGATGGCTCCAGTTGACATTGGGCCCTATCGGGGTGAGCGTTTTTTGGCGGAGTCTGTAGCAAACTTCCGTCTTGCACGAGCCGCGGCCGCTCCGTTTACCGCTCGGACCTGTGCTGTGGCGAACCGCCTTCTTGTCATCCAATGCAGGACTCACGCCCAGATCTAACCTGCACTATAGGGTCTTGTTAAGCGGCGGTAATAGCAGAAACCGTACATGGGAGACTTGGATGGTACGTGCCAGACAGCCAGCGGATCTCTTGCGGGTCTACCATGTGGAAAGACTTTACCAAGTTAATCTTTTCAGTTTAAGATGAAAGCCCTTGTTACGGTTGTTATCGCGCCAAATACATGCTCGAGCATGAAAGCGCTCCATTAGCTGGTGATGAGGCAAACTCTACTCTCGATTCTGGCATGACTTAACTGTCACTGTGCAACAGGAATCACGCTTGGCTTCAACTTACATGATTTCAGGCTTTGGAATTGAAGCGGAAACCTTTCACTGCAACTCGTATCTTAGACTCCAGGCACTGTTGTTCACGCCAAGCTGCGAAGACAAAGTCGAGCCAGTACATCCAAGACTCAACCTGTGTCAAGGAGGCCTGAATCTCATAGCCAACCTGGCAAAACAGAACAGCGTAAACGCCGAAAGTGGCCCCGCAAATTCATGTAATATAATGCTAAACTAAGATTAAACATCGCAACAACAAGCCATCGTAGAACCTTTGGCAGTTCACAGCGGATTAAAGCTGCAAGGCCGCGGGCCGAGGGATGGGACCTAGAACTCAGGATCCAATATCACCTCGCCCAGTCTGTTGCAGTCTGTACAAGAAACACTCAAGGGCAATGCTTCCGAAAGGTGCCGGTGACGCCGCTCGTAATCAAGCTGGCTGCTGACTGGGATTTCGAACAGCACCGGTCTCGCAACTACGCTGCGGACCATTCTGAGATGCTTAACTGATGTTTCTGGCCTAGGCCTGCGGGACCACGTTTGCAACGGATTCGAAGCTTTGGTCGCCTTGAAATGCTACAGTGAGCTCGGTCGAGGAGCTGAGATGGCATTTGCAAAGATGATCAGGCCCATCATGTAGTCGAACCATTTCTTCGAAACCTCGGATGCAACGCAGGCTGCCTGCCGGAGCATGCAATGCTGCACGCCAAGGTACGCGAAGCATCTGCTTGGGAGACCATGTTGATTTTCACAGATTCGACGACGAGCGAGAGCCAAGTCTCCGAAATGCCTCCAACGCCCTGCCTGCAACCTGCATTTCTGAATTTCCGGCGTGCCGAAAGGCTCCAAACTGTCCCAAGGATCTTGTGCACTATCAGCCCTGCGCTGAACATGCTGTCGAGGTCTCACATCTCTAAGTTTGGATTATACAGCATAAATCGATCATTTCGTCGAATGTTCAAGTCGTCTTGCCCTGCCAAGCCCACTTCAGAAAGATGAGTTTGCAAGGAGACAATGCTTCGGAGCTTTAGGGTTCAGGGCCCATGCCCCTGCAGGTTCCTGGTCACGTACATCTTTCGAGTTTACACCGGGTAAGTCGGAATCGACTGATGAAGCAGCACTGTGACTAGCCATAAGGCCGTGTTGTCAGCTACAAGTAGTCACCACCTCTTCTCTCGGAGCCAAGCCGAAACACAGCAGCCCTGCGTGTACTCTAGCGGTCACCCTCCCATTCTCTCAAGCTCTTCACATACTTTGCCGGAATCGTTCTTTCTGTCATTTCTGTCTGTGGGTGAAGAGAACAATAATATTGAAGAGTGTGAATGTGTGAAGAGAATGGGGGCCAGCAAAAAACCTCTTTCTGTTCGGCAGTTGCCCATTCTCTTCACGCTTTCACATACTTGCACGGTATCGTTCTTTCTGCTTGTGGGCGAAGAGAACGATAATTATCATGAGTGTGAATGTGTGAAGAGAATGGAAACCCAGGACAGAGATGTACATCCACTCAGGCAGTGTCGGGCTGCTTTTACTCGATCAGCAGACATGACCCCCGCGCCCCTCTGCAGGAGCATGTGCTTCTCCCAAGGCGGTGAGCCACCAGTTTGTGCTGTGGCATCTGTACTTGTCTTCAGCAACACATACTGTGAGCGATGACAACTCGGAGCACGCGGCCGGAGATGCCGGCCAAGTCACCAGCCGAAGACAGCAGCGACGGATACATTGGAACTTCTTGCCTGCTGTTGCGCACATCAAGCAGAGGCTGGGATGCAGGGTCAGGGTGGCTTGCCCGTGCCTGCCTTGGCGAGCGATGTTCTAGGACACTGACATGAGCTTTCGTTGTCTGACTGCGACGCCCCATAATTACCCCGCTCGTGGCCCCTCCGCAAACGTGGGGATCTACGTAGTGACGCGGTATGGTATGGTATGGTACGGTATAGCATAGAAATAGAAACAGAAACAATAAGAACACATATACAAATAGTAGTAGTGGTAGTAGTAGTAGTAGTAGTAGTAGTAGTAGTAGTAGTGGTAGTAGTAGTAGTAGTAGTAGTAGTAGTGGTGGTAGTAGTCGTAGTCGTAGCCGTAGCCGTAGTCGTAG